ATAAAATATATATTATAAATTATAGATTTATTATAAATATATATTTTTATATTTATATATTATAAAAATATATAAAATGAAAAAATATAGATAAAATATATTAAATATATATAATATATATAATATATATGTTAAATATATAGCTAAAATATATATTAAAAATTTTATATAAATATATATTAAATATACATTAAATGTACATTTTTATATTTTTTACATTATGTATGAAAGTATACAAATATATTTTATATTTTTTATTTATATTTTATTTTTATGTATTTGTAATATATATTTTATATATAATATGCTGATATATAAATATATAATACATATATTTATATATATGAATATATAAAAGTAAGTTTCTATAAAATATTTAAAATATAGATAAAATAAAGAAATATATATATTTGAAAGGAATATCTCTAAATATATATTTTATATAATTACATAAATATATAGTGTATAAATAATAATATATAAATATATATAAAACATATAAATAATATATCTAAATATAGAAAATATATATGAATATATAAAAATAAATTTCTATAAAATATTCAAAATATGGATAAAATAAAGGGGTGTATATATTTTTAAAGGAATATCTGTAAATATATATTAAATCTCTTTTTATATAATTATATAAATGTATTATCTATAAATAATATTATATAAATATATAATATATAAATATATAATTGCATAATACAAAATTATATATTATGTAAATAATAAATATTGATATATAATATAACTTATATAGGAATTAATAAATATATTATATTATATTATATATGAATACATAAATATACGAATATATTATATATTTATATAATATATAAATATATTAATATATTGTATTATATTATATTATATTATATGAATATATTATATATTTCTATATAATATATAAATGTATAAGTATATATTATATTATATACAATATATTATATATTAATATATAAATATATAAATAAATATATTTGGATATATAAATATATAGTAAATTATATGTATTCTATATGAATATATATTGTATTATATATATTTTATATAAATATATGTTATATATAAATGTATATATATATTATTATATATATTATATATTATATATATTGTATTATATATGTTTCTTTATATATATTATATATATTGTATTATATAGTTATACATAAATATAATACAAAAATAAATATAAAAATTTAAAATATAGATCAAAATAAATCCATTTTAAATGCCCTATAGGACTATAGGACTCTATCTATGTATCCCTGTCTGTATTCCCGGTGCCGCCCCGGCGGGAATTCCTCTTACCTGGCGTCTCCCAGGTTGTCCTGCTGCTCCTCCAGCGCTGCGCTCACGTTGTCCAGCAGCGCCTGCAGCTCCACCACGCGCAGCGCCAGCTCGTGCATCCCTTGGGAATTGCGGCCCTCCCCGCGCGCCGCCGCCCCCGCCTCCCCCTGCGCGCTCCCGAGCATCCCCCGGGCTCGCTCCCATCCCTCCCGCAGCATCCCCAGCTCCCGCCGCCGCTCCAGCCGCTCCTCCCCGAGATCCCGCAGCGCCCGCGCCGCCTCCGCCGCTCCGCCCCGCACCTCCCGCAGCCTCTCCCGGCCCCGCTCCGCGCTGGAATTCAGCCTCTCCAGCGCCGCTTCCAACCGGGAACCGTCCCGGGACAGCCCCCGGAGCTCCGCGTCCAGCCGGGATGTCTCGTCCCGGCAGCGCCCGGCCCGGGCCAGCAGCAGCTCCGCGCCCCGGCCCAGGTCCCGCACCGAGCCCGCGCAGCTCTCCAGCCGCGCCCCGAGCCCCGCGCCCGCCGAGGAGAGCCGGGAATGGCGCTGGGAAGTTCGGTCCAGCTGAGCCTCCTGCCCCTGGAGCGTCTGCTGGAGCTGCTCCAGCTCGGCCCGCAGCTGGGAGATGTCCCGGCCCAGCTGGTCCCGATCCTGGCACAGGGAGCCGTTCCCGGAGGTCTTCTCGCCTGAGCAGGGGGAGGGAGGGGCTCTTATCCCACCCCATCCCCAGATCTGTCTGTTATCCCATCCCAAGATCCATCTGTTATCCCACCCCATCCCGAGATCCATCTGTTATCCCACCCCATCCCGAGATCCACCTGTTATCCCACCCCATCCCCAGATCTGTCTGTTATCCCATCCCAAGATGCATCTGTTATCCCACCCCATCCCCAGATCCACCTGTTATCCCATCCCGAGATCCATCTGTTATCCCACCCCATCCTGAGATCTGTCTGTTATCCCATCCCAAGATCCACCTGTTATCCCAACCCATCCCACCTCCTAGGCTGGAGATCCACCTGTTATCCCACCCCATCCCGAGATCCACCTGTTATCCCACCTCATCCCCAGATCCACCTGTTATCCCACCTCATCCCCAGATCCATCTGTTATCCCACCCCATCCTCAGATCCATCTGTTATCCCATCCCAAGATCCATCTGTTATCCCAACCCATCCCGAGATCCATCTGTTATCCCACCCCATCCCAAGATCCACCCGTTATCCCACCCCATCCCACCCTCCTAGGCTGGAGATCCACCTGTTATCCCACCCCATCCCAAGGTCCACCTGTTATCCCACCCCATCCCGAGATCCACCTGTTATCCCATCCCATCCCCAGATCCATCTGTTATCCCATCCCGAGATCCACCTGTTATCCCATCCCGAGATCCACCTGTTATCCCATCCCATCCCGAGATCCATCTGTTATCCCATCCCGAGATCCATCTGTTATCCCACCCCATCTCCAGATCCATCTGTTATCCCACCCCATCCCACCCTCCAGGCCTGGAGATCCACCTGTTATCCCACCCCATCCCCAGATCCACTTGTTATCCCATCCCGAGATCCACCTGTTATCTCACCCCATCCCCAGATCCATCTATTATCCCATCCCATCCCATCCCGAGACCCATCTGTTATCCCATCCTGAGATCCACCTGTTGTCCCACCCCATCCCACCCTCCTAGGCTGGAGAT